TTTGCGCCGGCGGGAGCAACTGGCTCTGCACTTCGGGTATGGGCAGTTCTTGTAATCTCCCAGTGTGTGTTGAGGTGGGAGGAGGCAGGAGACGTTCTAAGATAGACTTAGTGGAGCATGTGCGCTAAGAAAGTCCACAGATTATTGGAAGCCAGTGATTTAAGAAACTATAGATAATACAATACCTAAAAAAAAAAGCAGTTTGCCAAAATTATATTCTTGTTCGCTTTTTACATTGTGCGTTTTCATTTCTATATCCTAAAAATCTTTACCAGTTACAGAGACAAACTAAAAAATCTTTTGTTCTGAAATCAGCGTTTCTTACACTGGGGGCGGAGGGCTCCTGGTTAAATATTCCGGAGAGTCTAAAGTAATTTTTTTTTCTTTAAAATATGTCTGAACATATTTTAAATGTGAGAAGTATTGAACCAGGGTATTTATTCGAATAATACTTGAGTAATTACTGAGAGACATGTATGGCCAAGCATTGGGTAGTGTTAATATAAATACAGTCCTTGCCCTGATAGAGTTTACCACCTTGTGGGGCAAATAAGTAACCAGGCAATTACTATACAGTGTTACAAAGTACTATGATAGAGAGGTACAGAGTGCTATAAGAATAGAAAGAATATATGGTCTAAAGTTTCAGGTTAAGAATAGAGAGGTGTCGTTGAGGTGAGCAACAGGTTATTTCGTGAAAACGTTATAAACTCTTTATAAGTTTGGACTTTAACCTAGCAGCAATGGGCTAGAAATATATATTGGGGGAAATATGAGTGCATTGATCAGATTTGCACTACTTCCAAATGGCTTAGAGATGAGAGCGAGCAAATCTTGAAGCTAGGAGAAAGCAGGGTTGAGAGAAGTGAATGGATTCAAGGAATATTTAGAAAATAAAGTGAATGTAATTCAAATGGATTAGGTATGGTGCGTGTGAGAGAGGACAATAATTGACTTCCAGTTTCTGGCTTCAGCAAATGGAAGAATAGCAGTCTTCCTCCCTGAAACAATACAGAAGCAGATTGGGAAGGGAAGGGAGAGAAATTATTTCAGTTTGTTGCATCTGACATGTCTTCTAATTTATGGTGATTGAAGCCACAGAGGTAAACCCGACCTCATAGGGAAAATGTTTAGGTTGAAAAAAGGGCTAAGGACAGAACTCAGAGGTACATCTACCTTTAAAGAGGGTAGGGACAAATCTGAGCATTAGTGCTCAGGTCAGAGAGGCAGGAGACTCAGGAGCATGCAGTCATTAAAAGAAGCCAAGAGAAGAAGGAATTTTTCTATTCAAGTTGCATTTTGTAAAAAACTGAATTGCATTTTTTGATTCACAACCAGCACTACTTTGACATCTTTAACCAACTTCAGTACTCTGTGGACATCTGGACCTTTAGGATAAAATTATAGAGTGTGTATATTTTCAACATTTTGTTTGGCAGTAACATTATTTGCTGCAAAATGAAGTCTGAACTGGAGAAGGGAGGTTTATTTTGTTTTGTTTTAAAATCAGTAGAACTCTGTATTTCTGTTTTGAAAACATATGAGGGCATTGGTACAGCAGCTCCTAAGTACTTTTTACTAGTTGCCATATACTGTAAGTTTTCAGCCCTTTGTCTTCATGTGTTGCTTATGTTAAGGATCTTATGTTTGGGTATGTGTCTAGGTTAGTATAGAATGGAGAAGAACACAGCATCATGATCTTAGTCATATCAGTGGTATATAACTTTGTTATCTAGTACCATTGATTTCTGGGCCCCTAGATTCAGATCTAAAAAGTATCTTCAGGGTATCCTTTTGTCTAAAGCAATAGTGAAATTCATTACTAAAATAAGAACCCAAAAACATTTTAAACTTTTTGCGCAGTGAGTGATCATAGGCTCTAGGTCACAGGAGTCTAGGAAAAAATAATAGTGTGGCAAATAAAGTTGTACTAAGAGTCCACTTTAGTGTTTCAGAAATCGATTGCATTTTGACATCTCCAGTTTGTACTTGCACAGTTGAGAGGTTTTAAAAAATCTTTAACTTTTTGTTACATTTTTCTTTTATAGGGGTTTTCTTACATGCCTGTTTTTCTCAAAATGAGTGTCAGTATCACCTTCGTAAGACCTTTTGCCAGAGTTTTAGTGCCATTTACCCTTCATAGGAAGAGAAGGGTTTTATATTCAACAATTCTGCAGAGATTCATGTCTTCCAAAATACCAGCTGTGTCTTATCCTAGTAAAGCGAGTACATCACCTCCTGAACAGCTGGAATTGGATGGGTGGAAAATTACAATGAAATCTAGTGTCCAAGAAAGTGTTCCAACAGCCTCTAGTACCAAGGATGAAGATCCTGTAGCTGCCACAAGGGAGTTAATTGAGATGTGGAGGTTGCTTGGCAGAGAAGTACCAGAATATATCAGCGAAGAAGAACTCAAAACCATTATGGAATGTGCTTCTAAGTCATCGAAAAAAAAATATTTAAAATATTTATATGTTAAGGAAAAAATGAAAAAAGCTAAGCAAATAAAAAAGGAAATGAAAGCAGCAGCAAAGGAAAAAGCAAAAGAAGATCAGCTGCTAGAAACCACTAAGGAAAATAAACAGCAAAACTTTCTATTTCTACGACTTTGGGATAGGAACATGGACACAGCAATGGGCTGGAAGGGTGCCCAGGCCATGCAGTATGGACAACCTTTGGTTTTTGACATGGCTTATGATAATTATATGGAACCAAAAGAACTGCAGAATACTGTTTCCCAACTTTTAGAAAGTGAAGGATGGAACAGAAGAAATGTTGATCCTTTCCATATTTATTTCTGCAATCTTAAAATAGATGGCCCTTTTTATAGAGAGTTAATTAAACGTTATGGAGAAAAATGGAACAAATTGCTTTTAACAACAACAGAAAAGTCTTATGTAGATTTATTTCCAAAGGACAGTATTGTATATTTAACTGCAGATTCTCCCAATGTTATGACTGCTTTCAAGCATGACAAAATTTATATAGTGGGATCTTTTGTTGATAAGAAAATGCAGCCAGGTACATCCCTGGCCAAGGCAAAACAGCTGAATCTGAAAACCGAATGCCTTCCATTAGATAAATATTTACAATGGGACACTGGTACAAAAAATCTCACCTTAGATCAAATGATGCGTATTTTGTTATGTCTGAAAAACACAGGTAATTGGGAAGAGGCTCTGAAGTTTGTACCTAAGAGAAAACATACTGGTTATCTAGAGATTTCTCAGCATTCTAAGGGGTTTGTCAATAGACTGAAGAAGTCAAAAACTTTCAATTCATTTCCAAAAGGTTCTCTAAATATATGCACACAGAAAAAGTGACTTGAACATTTGATAGCTTAAAAAGTAAATAGGTTAGAAATACAGTACTATTAGTCTTTTTTTTCCTGAATGTAACTCACTTGCTCTTTTAAAGGTTGTCTTTCCAAACTAAATGAAGTATTGTATCTTTCTCTGATTAAATATCTGCAAAACTTTGGAAATACATTTTGTTTGCTATAAAAAGAAAATCTTAGAAAGTAAAGAGTTGTCCAAGTTTGTTGAGTCCAGTAAAACAGTTGTACCATCATTGTGGCTTTCTTATGAATACTTTGAGTCTCAGACTCTATTTTCCTTCTTAAATTGTTCTTTTAGCCCTGTCAACAACTACCCATTCATCAAAAATGGATATAGAAAAGATTTCTAAACTTCAGGTAGTAGTTCACGTATTAAAGTAACATTTGATACAGTGCTGGGCATGTCATAGGCACCAAGGTATATTGTTTAACTGATCTTTTAAAGATTAAAATATCCCTTGGCATGTCATAGGATTTGGCTATATAATGAAAATGAGGCCTGGGGGATGAAACTCATTTCTTGTCCTCTTAGGAAAAAAAGATTTGATGAGTGTTACATGCAGCACTTCCCTATTATAGTATAGATAGCTTTCCATTCCTAGGAAATGGTTCCTTTTCTACAGTCATGATTTGAATGGAAGCTGCCATGTTTTTACAGACCTTGCTCCCCTGGTCACAGCTGATTATCCCAAAAGAGACAGTTCACTCAAGCCATAAAGATGGGCATCCTACTTTAAGACAGGCCAGTCAGAACCCTTTTCCACGATTTTTGGACTTGAGAACTAAGATAGCCTGTGTTAATTCCTTTCTGGTGGTGGACTTTTGACAGGAAGCTCTGGAATTGATGGTGGCCATGTCCTTTTCTATGAAGGAAGCCAGGCTACAGTAGGAGTGTGAAGCTTACCTACAGAAATAAGACCAATTTCTAGAGCTGTTCAAATCCCTGCTTCCAGTTGTCTCTGAGGTCTAGCTATAGATTTGCCTTTAGCATTTATTGGTTGTTCAAAGCTCATGCAATGTCCTAGGATCCCTCTAATAAATTCCCCTTTGCCTAAGCCAGTTTGAGCTGGGTTTCTGCCACTTGTTATTGAATGAGTCCTTATATACTTGAGAAAATATGTACTTGTTTCCTAAGAAATGAACTTTAGGAACCATATTCATTGTAGACTACCTACACCATTAAAATTTTTGGAAACATGGGATATAGAGAGATCTGGCCAAGTATTTCTACCTAGTTTCTGAACTGGAAATTAGCATAAGACATGTTATCCAATACATTTCTTAAAGCAAGACCTAACTTTTACCAAATACTACTAAGTACCTACTTTGTGCCAAACAATGCTGTTTATTTGAATAATGTAAACAACTAAGTTATAGGTGCTACCAATAATACCTTTTTTACAGATAAGGAAAATTTACCTAAGCCAAAAGTATCTCGGAATTCAAAAGATCCAGCTTTTAACCTATAAATTATGCCTTCTATAATAAGCAAGTATAAAATGAAATGGAAAAACAAGGGATGCCTAACCTAAACTTTGGGGATCAGGGAAGTCCTTGAGGAAGTGATGTATAAACTTAGAATCAATGGGAAGTATGAATGAATTTCAACTGTTGGACCCTATGAAAGTAGCAAGGTGCTAATACTTGAACTGCGTGAGATACATTGAAGATAAAATAGCATAGTGGTTAAAGAACAGGGTAAGATTGAATAGAAGGATCAGCGCTAGAATGAGGCAATCAGCAACTAGGGCACCTCACTGGTCTCTGAGTCCTAGCCTTGCTTCCTGGGTTCCAGCTCTACCCTTACATGTTCTGACGTTGCCTAAATTGCTTAATCTCTTAAAATTAGTTGTTTTCATCTATAAAAAGAAAAATAGTTCTTGACATAAAATAATATGGTTTCTGGCACATAAGTACTAAGTAAATGTTAACTAATTCAGACTATACATTCAAAATGGAATGGAATTTCATTGGAATGTGATTTTTAATACTAGTATATGTAAATTATTGTGTACTTTGAGTACATTCTTATTTCTGTGTAACTACGCTACAATAATTCAGTAATGCAACACTAGAATTAAAAAAAATTAAAAAGATCATTTTTCCTTCCAAATAGTCAAGCAGTAACTCTTTTCTAAGACTGTATCTTTCTTATGTAGCTAAATCACAATGGCAAGCTCATCCAGTTTTTTAAGACAGGCCAGTCAGAACCCTTTTCCACGATTTTTGGACTTGAGAACTAAGATAGCCTGTGTTAATTCCTTTCTGGTGGTGGACTTTTGACAGGAAGCTCTGGAATTGATGGTGGCCATGTCCTTTTCTATGAAGGAAGCCAGGCTACAGTAGGAGTGTGAAGCTTACCTACAGAAATAAGACCAATTTCTTATTGGGATTAAAACTCATACTAATTTTAATTTTCCAAAGTTTTTAGAATTTGGAAATTAGCAGAACCTCAGATACTGCTTCAATTTCTCCAAAGCAGATGGTATGATTTCCTGGGCACTAAGTAGGAAGTAATGGCATTTCTCTCAAACACTCATAATTTATTCTACAGTATTCTTTGAAGGCAACTTTTGTTGCCTATGTGCTAATTGTCTTCCCTCACCTATTAGAGACTTGCTTTCATGCAATGCCATTTCTAGTTCTTTACTTTTGCTCTTTTCAAACATGCTACCAACTTTCTAGCTTTTAATAATTAAAACAATTTTAAAAGAAGTCTTTACTTGCTATTATCCCTACCATATTATCCAGTTTGACTTTTTTTATATCTAAGCCAGATGCTTCAAACAAGTATTCAGAAGTTTCCATTTCCTCTACACTACTGTTAAACAATGCAAGCCACATATGTACTTTTAAAATTCCAGTAGCCATATTAAAAATAAACAGGTAAAATTAATCTTAACATATTTTACACTTAACCTATTATTTCACACTATTATTTCAATTTGCATTCAGTATTGTAGACAAAGGGGGGGTGGACTGTAGAAAGTAACCTCAGGGTGATCTGATCATAAATTCCTAACTGGACAGGTCATGCGGGTAGCCACATCCCAGGTTTATCTTTGCCTTAAGCAAGCCCTGTCCATTGTTTCTGTGCATCTAGGTTAACACATTTGAAATGCATCTTTTTCAAAGTAACCACCCTCAAGACAGTACCTAATTTTGTTAAGTATCCTGTAATCCAATTCTGCCTTGCTTTTTCCCACTTTCATGTAATCTCCCCTACATTCCGTCCTTAATTCCAAATTCATAAAAGAAGCTACAAACTATCATTCTCCAAAGCATCTTTCTCAATTTGTTGAAATCTTGCTTCCAGGTATATCCTCTGGTTGGCTCATAAATTTTTATGAAAATTCTCTACAGGTTTGGACATTCTTATGTTGATAGCATAAAAACTTAGTAAAATTTCACATTCATATTTTTTCATAATAAGCCTTCAAAACTTAGTATGTATTTTAATGGTTACAGCACACCTTTATGAATGCTAAATTTTCAATAGTTAAAGTAAAATGTGTCTTACCAAGAGTTGTGTTTAACAACAGCTAATTGCTTCAGTTTTTAAAATAACATTAGAAGTTCAGTTCTTAAGTTGAACTAACCACATTTCAAGTGCTTAAGAGTCACATGTAGCAAGTGGCTGCCACATTGAACAGTGCAGCTCTAAAGTATCGCTTGTTCAGGGTGGCATGGCCGTAGACCATGGGTTGTGTCTCCACTGGGACGTGAATCTAGGACTTTCTGCATGTAAAGCAGATGAGCTAACCACTACACTATGGAACCACATCCACAATCAATAAATTTGCTTTATCAGTTCAAACTCACAGTATTAGCAAATGGAAGTGTTAGAATTTAAATTCATTTTTGTCTGATGGAATGCTATTGCTCTTTGCAGTACACTGTCCTTTCATTCCCTAACCCATCTGTTGGGGGTTACTGAAGCTTGTAGTCATTTGTTCAATGAATATTTATTGAAACTGGTATAATCTAGTTCCTTAGGAAACATGACTTCATGGAAGTGATAGGTGAATGAATTAATATCTTCCATCTTTAGCTTCTACAATGTGGTATACAGAACTAAATCTCCTAGGTAGCTGTTGTGACCTCTTTGAACTTAATTTTCCTCCTTTAAAAATACAGACATCTATAAATACATACTTTCACATAAAAATCTTGTTTATGTCTCTTCAAAAAATGATAAAAGTGAGAGTCTGGGTGATTAAATAACTTGTGCAGATCACATCTGGGAAATATTAAAGACATGAATTATCTTGTCTATGTAAAATGTTTTGCTGGGCATATTTACATACTGTCATAAAACGTGGACCAGGGACTTTGCATCACCAAATCATCACATCACCATCAAACCACTCTGCTTCTGTCATGTGAAACATATTGGTTCTTTCTTCATTCTCCAGACTTGGAGCCTGAGGAGTCATCCACTCACAAATACCGATCACCTTTCATATATGAAACACACTATGGAAAAAAATATATATGTATTTTTAATGGTCTCTCGTGTGTGTGTGTGGCGGGGGTAGTTTTGTTGTCAAAAAACTTTTGAGCCAACTCGGGAGAAAACTTAAAAAAAAAAAACCACACTGAGGGAAATATCAAATGACCAGAGAATGCTATATATAAATTATCTCATTGAGCTCTATGATGGCCCTTTGAGGAGGTACTATTATTATTTCTATTTTATAAAGAAGGAAACGTAGGCCTGTATACAGTAAGAAACCCTCAAGATTTATTCAGCCAGTAAAGGGCAGATCAGGGTATTCAAACCCATGTTCTGACTCCTTAAAACCAATTTCAGTAATAGTCACTGTATATTATAGGGCAAATCCAGTTCCTCAGGCAAGGAATCAACCCTGTATGGCAAGAGGTAGTATAGAAAAAAAGAGATGAAGCTGAAGTTAGCCTCAATATAATTCTTGATCTTCATTCTGCAAACCCTTAAGATCCACTAGATTTCTAAGTAAGGCAGAGATTATCGAAGTCTTCGCTTAACAAAAATAACTTCTCAACTTGATACAGAAATTGCAGCCTTTAGAAAAAGTAGTTTTACCACTTGGCTACGTGACCTTGTACACAGTATTCTTTGGCCTCAACTCCGTTAAAGTCTAATCCCGCGTTGGACTATTGTGGGGATTAAATGAAAGCGTCTGACACAAGAGGACGCTCAATAAACGCTAACTTCTCTCTTAAGTAGGAAAAAATACGGCCCTACATTTTT